GACATATCGACAGTGTGTGGGGCCTCTAATTCGCTAGTCTACGAGCCCTTCACATAATTTCCCACGCTCATTTTTCGCTCGCAAAGTAACATGCCACATAGACACACGTCACGGAAAACGAATTTCTGCTCGGGTTCGCAGACGTTACTTTCCGAGCGACGAATGAGCGTGGGAAATGACGTCTGCATGGGTTCGCAGAATATCAATGCACATCCGAAATGTCTATATGCCAGTGTAAATATCACTTTATTCACTGGCTCCATTGTCATATGGAAACCAGGCGTAAAATTAAAAGCAGGTTAATAATGGCCATTGAATGAAGTGGTCGGCAATCATCGAAGGAGAAAAGGATTTCAGATACAAAAAGGATTTTACTCATGAGTATAATCACCGACAATGGAACTCGCCGACTGTCGGTGTCATATGGAAACCAGACCTTGGACCAAAATTTTCGGAACTGCGGACTCACCTGTTAAACATTGAGTCAGTTCGCCCAAACATTTCTTACAAATCCTTTTAATTTTAGAATTTACCCATGCAAAATTCCTACTGTGATCACAGAAACTTGGACAGTGTAAATCAGCCTTCGACCGACAGTAACTGGAAAAGAAGTAAAGTCCATCGCCGACATATTCCGTTGAAACGACAAAGGATTTGACGGACATTATTATTTCTAAACAAACTTAGTCTGCGCGCCTTCTGAAGTCTGGTTAGATATTCTTTAGGTCGGAGTCAGACCTCAATAAAGCCACAGAGTACTTACATACAGGTGTCTCGCCTCTGAGAGAAAACTAGCTAGTTTTACCAAAATAGCTGGCGATTATGTTCTTAGCAAGTGCCCCAATTTAAAGAGAGGCACCCACCCTCCTGGAACATTAAATTTGAATTTTTCAGGGGGTGACGACCTCTCTTTAGGGCACTTGATAAATTAACCTGAAGTGAGACCTCTGTATGTAAATACTCTGTGATAAAGCCTTGCGTCTCGTATTCCAAATGTATCTCAGCTTCGTACCCAGGCGCTTTGAATTTCTACGCCGTTGCGTGAAGAGCGCGCGGGCGACATTAGCTAAAATTTCCACGCGCGCGTCACGCGAAGGCGCAACGCACCAAAGTGCCTGGGTACAGGGCTGGCTCAATTAGCTCGATTTGCAACAAAAACCCCAGGATCAGGCGATCAGCTCGTATGGGAATATGTACACGATCCAGTCGCGTCGGCCAAAGACAAAAAAAACTTTGAAAATCGCACAGATATAAATTCTACAAAAATATTGAAACAACTCCTAAGTTTTCTAAATAATATTTTAACATTCTAACAAAAATTCATTGAAAATATAATGTTTGATGGCGCAAATTCTTTCCAAGGTATTAGACGCCATTTTAGCGAATGTCGAGTTGACAATAGTCACTTCAATGGCCAATATCTCGAAACTACTGCCGGGGGATCACCGGGATCATTCCAGCAGATTTAAAGCTTATATTTTTTCCTTGTCGACTGCCAAAAATGAGAAAAATCGAACCATGGGAATTCTAAACATTGTAAACATATTTAGACCCGAGTCAACACGTCGCGGGGAGTCGAGTAACTTCAAACATCAAAATAACATTGAAAATAACGTTTACACCTCAGAGATTTTTGCAGATATCACCAGATCTTTAGCAGTAGTACTACAACACTTGAAATTTTGCATGAAAATTTTAATATTAATATTTTTTCTCGATTTATTTTCCGTCAAATGCAAATTTTTCTGTCCAAATTCTGCAGATAACACGATGGCGGAAAATAGCGATCTCACTGGTCGAGAGCTCACGTGACAACTCACTAATTGCATGTCCAACCTCCTCTGGACTCGAACAATAGGGTAAAATGTAGCCTGCATGGCAGGCGGTACCTAGGTATTTCCTTCGCCTCCCTAATTTTCGCTGCCTGTAGAAATACCGCCTGCCGCGCAGGCTAGGTAAAATGGAAATTGCTATTATATTGGTGGATTTGGCAAAAAATACAATACGCACGTGACGGTGAAGGATCAGATTTATGAATAAACGTTGACTAACATAGATAATGAATTATATTGTTATTCTAATGGTTTCCAAACCATCTATTCTATTAACTATGATAAAAAGCAAAGTAACGGATATTCATTGTAAAATACATCAGCAATTTAAAGTATAAAGCCGAAAAAAATTGTACCTACCGAATTTGTTCTCTGTTGTGAAAGATCTATCAAGTTTTCCTTGGTTTCATTTGCAGCAAATTTTCTCAAAATTTCATTCCGTCTTTCAGCGCATTATCATCGAATTCTGTGCCTCTGTGTCTAATTCGGGAATGTTGTTGAAGGCCTGCTTGACTAAATATATCTGTTGTTTGTGAACCACAGACAGCACAACACGTTTTCCGCTTCGCAAAGCCAAAATAATCTGCCTTCGTAGACATGAATAATTCATAAGCAACTGAGCCATTTTGCTCTCTCCTCTGAACAGGCTTTTAAAGAATATGAAATTCGAAGGAATTGAAATTGCGCTAGAACTCTTCATACCAGATACCTTCTAGCGCAATTTCAATTCCTTCGAATTTCATATTCTTTAAAAGCCTCTGCGGAGGAGGGCATACTTCGAAACCCGGACCGGACTCGGACTCGAAGAAAATCCGGACTTGAGAAAAACCCGGACCCGGACTCGAAAAAAATCCGGACTCGTGTTTAACAAAACCCAGACTCGTGTTTAACAAAACCCGGACTTCACTTCTGAAAACCCGGACTCGAAATAGACAAAACCGGATTCAAAACAAGGACTCTGTGCACGAGAATGCAAAGGTTTTATCGGTAATAAATCCTTATCGCTTTTGTATATAATAAAATACTTTATTTCAAAAGCAATAAGCTTTGGTTTCGAAAGATATAGATATTTTTTTCTTCTAGTGACTCAGTGTTATGCGTTATCTGAGGATACTAATCAGTTATCATACTATATGGTTCCTCACAAAACAATCACTATATAGCCTACCTAAACAAATCATTTAGCCTTATACATACTTGCTTACTTACTTAATTTAAAAATTTATTTAACCACGCTGACCATACACAACATATTTGTAAAATACACTCCTGCGAGTAGCTAAATCTACCCTAGACATAAATTAATAACTGAAATCTGACTCAGCATAGCAGACTCAACTGACGTGATCGATGGCGGCAAGGGTAAAATATATCCTCAACATATTCGACCTCACTATCGGCAAAATGACACGAAAAATAACTAGATTTCAACCAATCAAAAGTGTAACTTCAACCAATCGAAAAGAACGCCGGAAAAGCACATCTCATGTTGAAGGCAATGAAGGTATCGCGGCAACCGCGCCTAAATACCGACTATGAAGTAATTCGAGCGTTGTTGTGCGGATGGACATAAATTTGATATTATAACATGCTCTCAAATAGTTGGACAAGACGCTACTGGAAACACGTTTATTTTCTCTATTTCGTTAATAATATAAAGTCCACAAACACGAATTGAACACCCGCAATTATTCTTTATCCGAAAGTAGTAGAAAACACATCACAATGAAAGCAACAGCTGCAAGCTTGCACCCGCGGCCGACAGTGAAATTCGCGTTGGATGGTTGGCGTAAATTTGATATTGAGACTCTCTCGTTAGGCAATGCGTTCATCAATTGCCCGATATGCCTTGCATACAACCGCGGCTCGATACTGACAATGAAGATTGACAATAAATCAAGTTAACGTTATTTTGAGAATCAACAATCAACATGCTACCGTCGTACTAGCTACTAATTGTAGATCGTTGTGCTTCAATACATTTTAGTTTTTAATAACTTATAAGTGCCTAAATGATTTGGGAGTGCCTAAGTGATTATTTTGTTAACAGCAGAAGATTAAAAATATCGAGTATAAAGAGATCATCGTTTATCATGTTACTAATTATTAAACCTTTCCAAAAAACCTTTGCATTTTCGTACACAGAGTCCTTGTTTTGAATCCGGTTTTGTCTATTTCGAGTCCGGGTTTTCAGAAGTCAAGTCCGGGTTTTGTTAAACACGAGTCCGGATTTTCTTCGAGTCCGGATCCGGGTTTTTCTCGAGTCCGGATTTTCTTCGAGTCCGAGTCCGGTCCGGGTTTCGAAGTATGCCGCGGAGGAGAGAGTACCAGAGCAGACCTCTCAACTCTCACGCATTCGGCGTGAGTCTCACGCAATTCGCTTCAGTCTTACGCTCTCACGCCAGACCTCTCAATTCTCACGCATTCGGCGTGAGTCTCACGCAATTCGCTTCAGTCTCACGCTCTTTCTCACGCCACGTTTAGTAAATCTAACGCATAAAAATTTTGGTATGTCTGGAAAAATTTTTGGACCCCTAAAATGGTACACTGACCGAAAATTTTTTGGCGAGGGGGGGGGGGAGGTCGCCGAAATAATTTTTCCGGAAAAAATTAATAATTTTCCTTCCGGTGTCATCCACATCCCCAATCTCTTCCGATGTCATCCACATCCCCTATCAAAAATTTAAACTCTGTCAATTTCTTTAAACGTTTTAGTACTTTCGTAATCTATCAAACGATTTTGTTTGATATATGGTATCTTATTACCAAATCGAGATCTTTAACATTATAGTTAACGCTTATGGCATCAAAACTATTTGAAAAGTTATGTTTTGCATGGTCTGGCGACTACGAATCGTTGAAACAGTTCGTAAAGGACGACCTAAATCTTGAAGGAACATGGTCACAGCCTGGTGGGGACAGAAAACTCTTTACTCTTGGTGATTCTACTATATTATGGAAAAAGAATAAGAATGTTTTATGCCTTGACGGAGCTAGAGCGAACGAGATTATGCAAAGTCTGTGCAAGCTGATGTGTTCTTTCGAAGCACCTATATCAGTCGACCGGCAGCCAAGCATGCAATCGGCTGCTGTTTGTGATACTCTCGGAAACCTCCAACGGGGCCAGTTAGTGAATTCAGAAGCGATTCAGGCTTTATCAGGAACAATCACTCACATAACATCTGTGATGTCGCAATATCAGAACTTTATGCATAAACATAATTCCGTCCATTGCGATATAACTTTGAATACAGCGAGCGAGGTATTTGAATATGGTAATCATGAAAACATTTGCGATGGCAACAAAGCAACAAATGATAGCCCCATTGGGTCAATTGAATTTACAAATCTTAATGTTAGCAATGCGTTGGAACCAGTTATTTATACAACTGGTTCTGAACATGGTAACCAAGAAGCCACCCATGGTGCAAGCGAAGCTATTAATGTTAGCTCTCTTGCCCCTAACGAACAGACTAATCTTAGTGAGACCGAACGGTTAAAATCCAATAATAAAATACTAAATGTTGAGCAAACCTCAATGCAAGGACATACGTTAACTTACGCAGATATAGTGTCATCTTGTGAGACTGTTACAAGCAATAAACACAAATCTATCTCCCAAAAATCATCATGCAAAACCAAGGAGATGTCTTGCGATCCCGACGGCTTTATTGGTGTGGAACGCAAGCGAAGAAAAACAAAGAAATTCTTTCTAACTGGCATCGCAGAAAATGTGAATGAAAACCAGATCCTTTCTTATCTAAAAAAGAAAAACATAATTCCAACATATATATCTATCTTCCCCAGTCGTCGCAGAGGAGTACTCTCATCGAAGATTCATGTCCCTTCGGCTGCCAGTTTACTAGTGCAAAACGAGAACTTTTGGCCTAAATATGTTACCTGTAAACCCTGGCGCGCAAAGGATGACATCAAGAACCCTGTGGAGAGGGAAATTAACCTGACCCATAAGGGAACTCTTTCTACATTTGTATAATGGCTCACACAATCCCAGTCAGAATTTCTTATCGTAACCGTCGTCACAGACCTAAGCAAAATATGCGGAACGCATCTAACTTAATACGAGTAAGACGGTGTAACCCTGTTGGAACGAACAAAGTTACGAAACCCATGCTCCCAAAATTATCTTTAATAAACGCACGTTCTCTTTTACCAAAGGTTGATGAACTTATCGCAAATCTATCCGTAAACACAGTAAATTTGGTGGCAGTGACGGAAACATGGTTGAACGACGATATAGAAGATAACCTTGTTTCAATTGGGGGTTATAACATTTTCCGAAGGGATCGCCCTTATCGACGTGGAGGTGGGGTTTGTGTCTATCTCTCTGAGCATATCCATGCTAAGCGTCGAACTGACCTTGAAAGCGACAATTTTGAGTGCTTGTGGCTTTGGCTACGCCCCACTCGCCTACCTAGACCCCTCTCAGGCATTGCAGTTTGTGTCGTCTACCACCCACCTGGGTTGCCCGAACATGAACATTACCTCCTAAATGAATATTTAACCAATAGCGCGGATATTCTATGCAACCAATATCCCAATTGTGGTCTTGTTTTCCTAGGCGATTTTAACGATTTCCAAACAGCGAACCTTTTATCAAGACATAACTTAAAGCAATTGGTCCAGGCTCCCACGAGAGGCTCGGCTATTCTAGATCTCATAATTACCAACCTATCAAACCTTTATGAAGCCCCCCAAGTTCTAGCCCCACTTGGATCCTCAGATCACAATATTATCACATGGTCTCCTGACTTAACGAAGTCAAACCCAAGTTTGCACACCAAGTCTATTAAACGTCTGGTACGTCGATACCCTCGATCTTGTATTGACGCTTTTGGGAGATGGGCTACAAGCCACGATTGGTTCAGTGAACTTGGGCCTACAGCCACAGTTGATGATCTAACAACATCTTTTACATCACAATTTGTGCAAGCAATTGACCGTATATTTCCTCCTAAGTTGGTAAAATTCCACCATTCCGATAAACCTTGGGTAACACCAGCCATTAAAACCCTCATAAGAGATCGTCAGAAAGCATTCCATAGCAGGAATAATCCCCTTTGGCTCTCACTAAGACGCAAGGTCCAATATGAAATAAGGGAAAGAAAAAAGTCTTTTTATAAGAACAAAGTCCAGCACCTAAGAAACACTGACAGTCGTAGATGGTGGAAAATGGTCAACAAAATGTCCGGTAAACCTGAGAAAACAAAATCTTTCTCTTTAGAACGTAACGGGGAAACTCTGAACGACGAACAACTAGCAAGTGCCCTTAATGAATTTTACGTCTCTGTGAACGCCGATATTCCGACATTTGATGTAAATTTACTGCCCGCATTCTTACCGGCTAACGACGCCTTTTTATCCGTTGAACCTTACGAAGTCTGTCAAAAATTATTGGCTCTTCAACCTTATAAAGCAACAGGACCTGATAATGTACCAAGTCGATTTCTAAAAGATTTTGCTCACGTGCTAGCCGATCCAGTTACCACCATTTTTAATGCATCCCTTTCCTCTAGCGTCGTCCCGAGAATTTGGAAAGAATCCAATATCATTCCAATCCCGAAGGTACAACAACCCGAATGTGAAGGAGATACTAGACCAATATCGTTGACCTCTTGCCTCTCCAAACTGCTGGAAGACTTTGTTGTAAGTTGGCTAATTGACGACGTCAAGGGAAAGATTGACCCCTGCCAATTTGGCTGTTTGAAAGGAACGTCGACCACCTATTGCCTCCTTGATATGCTCCACTCTTGGCTCTCCCATTTGGACTCGGACTCCAACGGTAAACACATTCGTATTAGCTTCTTAGATTTCTCGAAGGCCTTCGACCGCATTGGATACAATATTCTCATTGAAAAACTGCTAGACCTGGGCGTTAGGCGGTCTTTAATACCCTGGATTATAAACTTTCTTTGTGATCGAAGACAACGAGTTAAAATTGGAGAATCCTTTTCCAGCTGGCTCCCAGTGACAGCCGGGGTCCCCCAAGGGACTAAACTTGGTCCAATATTGTTCCTCATTATGATTAATGATTTGAGAGTAAATTCCCCAGGCACGAAAATGTGGAAATTTGTAGACGATGTCTCATCCTCTGAAAATCTTACATCGAACAGCTTCTCGGTCACTCAGTCAACTCTTGATTCTATCGATTCATGGGCAACTTACAATTGTATGAAATTGAATGCCAAAAAGTGCAAAGAGCTCCGGGTTTCCTTTCTTAAAGAAACCCCGCAGCTACCATCTTTGACAATTGATGGTTACGTGGTAGAAACGGTACAATCGCACAAAGTGTTGGGTTTAATTATTCAAAACAATCTTAAATGGGACGAGCAAATTCGATCAATCGTCACCAAGGCCTCCAAACGGTTATACGGTCTTCGCGTATTATGCCGCGGTGGTGTCCCTCCTGCTGATCTTACCAACATATACTTCGCTCTTATTCGTTCTATTCTGGAATACTGTTGTGAGGTATGGAATTACGCGATACCTCGCTATCTGTCTGACGAACTGGAAAGAGTACAAAAGCGTGCCATGCGCATTATCTTTCCTGGCCACTCATACGACGAAGCTCTTCAATTGGCTAATTGCACAAGACTTAGCGACAGGCGAAACGAAACCTGTATAAATACCTTACAGAAGATTGCTAAACGAGCAGGTCCCCTTGTTGAACACGTGACACAATCCAGAGCTTGTGCTCAACAATATTATATTAGAAACTTAAATAATCTGTCATTGTATAAATGCAGAACTGAACGCTTTAAAAACAGTTTCTTTCCAAGAGCAATTGTTGAACTGAATGCCATGAAATAGAGAAAGGAACCTACCTTAGATTAAATTATTAAATTTTAACAATATTCTTAACTTACTATTCGATCTTAACATATATATTAATAATATTCGTAACCTATTTTACCTTAAATTTTATGACCGTGTAAATAACTATAAACTAAATTTGACTTTGAATGTAAACACATTGTAATTCATTGTTTATGCGAAAATGTGTAATTAAACACCAAATAATAATAATAATAATATTTTGGGAACCCACTCATAGAAAGGAACAGCTTTAGGAAGATACCAACATAAACAAGAACTAGCTTGGCAACCGCAAAGGAAAACCGAGACAAATGGAGGAAATTAGGCAGTGAAAGGTTACGAGTGAACTCGAAAGGTTACTGTAATCAAAAGTTGCATAAAGGCTGCGGGTATGTGTGTATTGACCTAAAATGACCTTTCCTTATTTGTGCCAAGGCATTTGGGTGAGTACCGGAAGACGAGAAATCAGGAAGATCATTGCCGAAAAAGTTCTTCAACTTGGACTAGGTCTCTCACGACAAAGATGTGTTTCTCTTTCTCAGCGAACTACCCAGGCAGACGTCGCAGACGTGTGTGTTTAGTATATTCGCATAGTATATCTGGCACTGGCTAATCAAATAACTAAATTACGCCTTTGCGATATTGAATCGAGTTAACGGAAGATTCAAAAGTTTGACTAGGGTAAACCGTAAATTATTTGTATTATTTGTAGAGTTGTACTGATAAGGACATTAGAGAGTTTAAGTTCGACTTCCGATACCAAATACCAATACCGATACTAACAACATGTCATGCGCATGCTCTCTGCTCGCAAGAAGCACGAGGACAAGTGTATTGGAAGTCACCACTACCGTCGGTCTTGTTTTAGAAGTCGGGGGAATTGTAAGATAAACTCATATAAATCGGATATTTCATAATTTTTACGATAAACATGTAAACTATTTGTTTATTAGCATCGCCTGAGTCATGTTTTAGTCGGAATTTTAGCTCAGCTGCCGTTTAGTATACCGCACATTTTCGGTGACGATTAATGTGTTCTGTACTTTATCTGTCGTGATAACTTAACGCTTTAAAATTCCCGGTACCAAAATCAGAACGGAAGTGAAAACATCGGTATCGGTATTGGTATTGGAAGTCGAACTTAAACTCCCTATTGTCGGACATTGTCAAGCTTATTAGAGGTGGGGGTGGAGTAGGGGAAGGGCCTCCCAGAGGGGGGGGGGGGATTTGCCCCCAAAATTTGCGAAAGGGGGGGGGGCAAAAGGTGTAATTAAAAAATAATTTGGAACGTTTTTTAGACCTTAATTTTACTGGTATTGATCCGAAAAAATGTGTTTTACCCGTGATTTTACAGGTGTAAAATGTGTTTTACCTCCGAATTTCTCTGTGAGGCCTTGGGTTGGGATGGGGGCTAATTTACTATTCTGGGAAAGTTATATCATTTGAACTTTCACTAAACCTTCTAGTTATCTAATTCTATTTTTGAGGCATCATGATGTATCTCACAGGCTGAGGCTGCCTACACTGTAAATCGTTTTATAGTCACACTTTATGCAGCAGTTTTAAAGACCGATTCGAATGTCTTTTTTCTCCTGAAATGAATTTCAAGGTAGTCACTGCCGCCTTATAGAATACTTCAAAACTGTCAGTGTTACAAAATATAAATTAAATTAAATCTTAAAAATACCGGAGTTTGTTAGATTTATAGCAATAAGACCGACTAGCCTCGTTTTGGTGCTTTTTGCACATTTCAAAGGGCTATAATTTCGCTTGCATGGATTGTTTCAGTCCATTAAACTCTTACACTTTAGTTTAATAGCAGTCTCTGCTACATAATTGTTTGTTAATAGCCTGGTAGTGGTAATGCATAAAATATACACTTATGCAAAATTATGGCTGCTAGTTTTCGAATCGGTCAATGTACCTGAGCATCCTCGTCCCCAGGGCTACGCTCATTGCTCTCGCTCAGAGCAATGAGCGCCCCCCGGGGACGAGGATGTGTACCTGA